TCGAGCTATAGAATCGGCCTGATCAGGTGATGACTCTCGAAGTAGGGGGTGCTCATAATCCATCCCATCAAAAAACCGCTTACTAGTTTGCCACCAATCAGTGGCAAGCTCAGCCTCTGTAATAGATAGTTGGCCTCCTAACAATATAAAAGCTCAAACAAAGTTAAACGTGTACTAGTAATAACTTGTTTATATATGATAGTATTTGTGTGTTAACTTACATCATTCATCGTCGTATATGGGAGTAACTATTCCTAATCCAACAGGCGGATCCTCTTCCAGGTAATAGCCCTAGGAATATCATTTGATTTTTTTATCGCATATGTCTGCATGCTGGGGAAAGCCTCAAATATCCAAATCTACAAACAATATAATACACAAGCATCAGTAATTGTTAAATAATAATTAATTATAAATTTGTAAACATTATATAGAAATTATTACATTAAAGGCCCAAATAAATCCTGCCAAAGTGTATTTAGAACCATCGTCCCGCAAACTTTTTCGGTCCTCAAAGGCAGACGACAACTTCTTCCAGGTAGTTTTTAATAGATATGAACCCCACGAAAACAGGTTCCATACATTTAGGTCCTCTACCAATAATATTAGGTCCTTAGAAATAGGTTGTCTGCCCTCTTTGCCTAAAAAGCCGGCATGCAAAAGTAATAAATGGCATACTCGGACAATATCAAGGTCATCCATTCGAGTAAAACCATCTTTAACAAATAATCTCTTCAAGTCGTCGACGTATAAACTCGGCTTCGACTTTGCCAGCTCAGGAAAAACCCGAGATAACCATGATGGGCGGGAGATATGACTAGTGTACCGGGTTACTTCATCGTGTCCGAAGCGTAGACCAGTGATTAAGCAAAACTCCTCCCGCCCAAAACAAGTATACGCCGGAGGAAAATGAAACCATATCTCTTCATCACCATGTTGTATCCTCTCGGGTAGATCGTTAGTCATAGTCTGAATAAACAAATGTTTCAACATATCATCTCCACTCGGATGTTGTACTTTCAGCCATGGCCCGAAGCAAGTATCCTCAAACAATTTTCTTTGTATAGGTGTAAGCATTGAAGCAATTTTAGTGGCTAGACTTAATTTATTTCTTAAGGTCAATTGAGCCAAAAAAATTCTACAAAAACAATAAACATACCAAGTTAGATATACCAAAAACTACAAATTATACACTATAAACAGACATGATATTAAACAGTGAAAACAAAGCCAAATATAATTCAAACTAGCACTGTATTCACCCAAGTCATTATGCATCAGATAACATTCCAGAAGTAAGCACTTATAAAACATTTAAAATGACAACATATAGGTTTAGTGCAGGTTCAAAGACAACATAAAGAGTAGTAATTTATTCTTGAAACTTAAATTCGCAACACTGTGAAGTTAGTATTTGTCTTTGTTTTTTGGTTGAAGTAATGCAATTCATTCAAGTTTCAATTTGCAAAAGAAGAGTAGCTTCTGAAACTTAAATTCGCAATGCGAAAATGAAAATCGCAACGCGAAACTAAATTCGCGTTGCGATTTTCATTTTCGTGTTGCGAATTTAAGTTTCAAAAACTATTCTTCTGCAAATTGAAACTTGAATGAATTGCATTTCTTCAACAAAAAGACAAAACAAAGACAAATATTAACTTCACATGGTTAAAGACTAAACAGTTTAGCAGTATTGGCAGCAATCGAATGAATTTACTACGCAATCTAAGTGAAATGGTTAATCTATATATTGAAATTACCAATAAATTTATCATCAATATAAAAAAATCTAATAATAATACAAAAATTTCAAAATAAAAATAAGAGATTAAAAAAACTAACCCTCGGTGGTAGATTTTCTATTTCTGACCGTGAATGGTTGTGAGGGTTGCTATGAGAGATGGAGATAGACGGATTTCGTCAGAGATGGAGATAGACGAATTTCGTCAGAGATGGGGACGGATGTCGCCGTAGAGAGTGAGAGATGGAGATGAGACTGAGTTGTGATTTAGGGTTTTAGATTATGATTTGTGATAATACTGTTTACATTTGTGTTGCGAAATTAATATTGCGAAAATAAATGCGCTTTGACTTCTGTGTTGCGAATTTGACTTCTGTGTTGCGATTTATAAATTCGCGTTGCGAATTTGGAAAATCGCAACGCGAATTTAGAAAATTGCAATGTGATTCACATATTCGCGTTGCGAATTTGGAAACTGAGTTGCGAAATTGGGGTTCGCGTTGCGAATTTGTTGGTCATTTTCGGAAATCTAAAAAAAATTGGTTAAAATCGTATATTATAAGACATTTTCGGTTACTGAGGTTCTTTTCTCTTGTTATAATTTTAAATACATTTTATATTAAGTCACCCAATTTTAGTAATATTACATGTAGGTTGTCTTATTTTGAAAAATCATATATGAGTCACTTAATAATCAATTGTTACAATAAATACTGGACCGTTAAAAATGAACCATACCTTAGGTGTCGTCAGGAAATTCTTTTGATATTTTTATTGGGTAAATCACATCATAAATGAACTAACTATTAGTAAGACTACGAATGAGTCACCTAATTATTAATAAGAGTACATATGAGTGATCTAATTTCAAAATAAAAAATTATAAACGAATCACTCAATTAACTGAAAAAGAAAACTCATTTCACGTTTTGAAATTCTAAAAGATGGTAGTATTCATTCGATGATTCGAATGATGAAGAGGTTGTTCTCTATGAATATCCCGATGTCATTTGGATGATTTCGTGATATTTGAGAGATATTCTCGGAAATCAAATATGATGAATTGAATGAAAATATCAAAATAAATCTTATGATGAAATTTAAGATTTATCAACTATAGTATGCGATGATAAACAACAATTGATGCAATGACAACGTGACTTGATTGTTACAATCAATTAACTAAGTAACTCTATCGTAATGAGTAAGATATTCCACGTTAGAGAGTCGTATAATAAGTAATGGTTTAGTGACCTGTTTGTCACAATCGATCAATTGAATTATTCATTTTGTGACTTTTTGAATTGATGGTTCATTTATAACTTTACTAATAATTGATTGAATTGTGTTAAAATTTATCTTAATTTTAATGAGTCTTATAAACGAAATTACCATTTTAAAAAGGTATAGTCGCACATGGTTTAACTTCACTATAAGATTGAGTAAAACTGGATTCGATTAAAAAATTAAATTTATTTTTAAATTTTGAGTTATTTGCAATTCAATTTTATATGTAATTTAATGAGTTTTTTATACTTTACCCTAATTCATTAAGGGTAAAGTGTGTAAATGATCCCCAACTATAGAACATTATTTTATTGAGTATTTGAGTCAATTGACTATTAAAAGTTATAAAATGGTCATTCAATTATATGTCATTGTTTTGTTGAGTCTCCCGACTATTAAAAGTTACAAAATGATCATATGACTATTCATATATTCCGTTAAATCAATCATTTGAGTTTGAGGTTAACATGTTGATCAATATATGATAAAATATGATCATATAACCGTTTACGTTGTATTTTATGGATTGACTCTCCGTTTATATTATGTCGTTGAGTTAGTGCTTGAGATATTATATCATCGAGCTAGTACTTGAAAGCATTGACTGCGCCATTAGACATCATTAAAATATAATTTTATAATATCCCAATAAATATATTGATGCCTAATCTTAATAAAAACAATATTTTAATTATTTATGTCGATTCAACAAAATAATATTTTATAATTTGGGGACCATTTATAGAGTTTACGCTTTTATATACAAATATCTTTTTTCACTCTATCCATCTTCAAATGGTTGTCCCTTGTTCCCATATGTAATGGGGTAAGGGGAGGTAAGATAGTAGGATACCTCCAACACCAAGTTGAGAGCAGCTTCCGTAGAAGACCTCCGAATTATGAAGTGCCCTCCGTGAGACTCGATCCCACGATCTACCAACTGAGCTGGATAGTAATGCTTATTGCCCCTTCCCTAAGATGAAGGATAAATGATTGAAATGATCAATTTCATTTTATAATTATTTATTTTTATCATTAACCTTAATAAAAATAATATTGTAATTATCTATGCTTTTGATTTATAAGTTTTAGTCATTTAGACCTTGAATGATGTTAGACGACAAGAAACGCTGGTAAAAGATTAGCTTTTAATTTTTTCTTTATATTTTATTAATATAAATCTTAAATTAAGATAAAATACTGATTTGATCATTCATTTTTAATAAAATATTAATTTGATTTTTGAATTCAATTAAAATTATTGATTTTTTAGTCTAAAAATTTAGAATTAATTTGATATTTTATCAAAAATTTAAAAATTAAATGTATATTTTATTTAAAATTTAGGATTCAAATAAACAATTAACACATTTTATTAATGTGTTATATTACAAAACTAATGATATTTAAGTGTTAGTGATTAAAATTTTATAAATTAATAATATGAATTATCAAAATGTTAATTTTTTTTAAAAAAAATGATGATCAAAAGTGAAGACTTATGAAATAAGAACAAGTATTTCGATAGTTCACCCAAGATGCAAAGATTCATCTACTCCCTTCAACTATCACAAAGTACAGCTTTCCAGTTCGGGTTGTTGATTGATTCATAAAGCAAAAAGAAAAAGCTTTAAGTTTCCGTGAAAAAGTTTAAGCTAAAGGCGCCATTAATATTCGCAATTAATGCAAGTACTAACACACTGTAGGCCGACTTCCTCGCCCAAATAGGGCGCTGGAAAAAAAAATTTGATACAGGACTCTCACCAAATTATTTTTTAAATTAGGGGTGTTTTCTACAGTTTTAATGAAAAAAAACGTATGAGGAAGTAAAAAGGAGAATTGAATAAAGATGTGAGGTGAGATGATCTTAAGGTCTTCTGTAAGTTAGTGTTTAAAATACTTTAATCTGAAAAATAATTATTTGAGTGGACTATTTTGAGGTTTCTCGGTCATTTGCCCACTGTATGCCTGTTTCAACACACTCGTTAACCATGGCCAGGAAACTCGCTTCCCACTCTCCTTTTCTCCCTTTAAATTCATCACAATCATCGCAGGCTTTCATGATTTCACTTCATAAGCAACTCCCTTGCTTTCATCTCAACTCTGGGTTTTCTCTACTTTCTTGTAAGCAGCTCCAGTTTCTGGGTTTTTTTAAGTTTTTGTTTTGTTCTGTAAGTTGCCATCTGCCAATGGTTTTCATAAAGGTTGTTTTCTCTTGGGTTATAGCCTATGGGTATTTGTTTTCATTTTTGACAGTTTTATATATGATATATGGTGGGCTTTGGGTATTATTTTTTACTTTTAATACTGGTATATATATATATATGTTCTATGTCTCTACTTGCTTTTAAAATTAAGAGAAAATCGCCTCAGTGACCAAAAATGCCTTATAATATACGATTTTAACCAACTTTTTTTGGATTTGCCAAAATGACCAACAAAATCACAACGCGAAATAAAAATCGCAACGCGATCCCCAGAATCGCAAATCAGTTTCCAAAATCGCAACGCGATTCTTGAAAATCGCAATGCGATAGTACAAATTCGCATTGCGATTTTCCAGAATCGCAACGCGAATATGAAAATCGCAACGCGAACACATAAATCGCAACGCGTATCCGTAAACCGCAACGTGTATCCGTAAATAGCAACGCGTATCCGTAAATCGCAATGCGTATCCGTATATCGCAACGCGTATCCGTAAATCGCAACGATAATCCGTAAATCGCAACGAGAATCTGTAAATCGCAACGATAATCCGTAAATCGCAACGAGAATCTGTAAATCACAACACTGAAATTTTGGGTATAAAACTACGCAACAGCAACAAATCATAAACTAAATCCCTAAATCGCAACTCATTCCATCTCCATCTATCACTCTCTCCGGCGACATCCGTTCCTATATCCAACGACATCCTTCCCAATCCGGCAACAGGTTTTAGTTTCGCAGCTCGTCTGTTTAGTAAATTAATTTACAACCATGAAATCATCTAATGTTGATCATGTTTGGATAGATTTGTGTTTTGGAGGGTCATGGGATAATGTTCATGGTGTTTTACAATATATGCCTTTACCCATGAATCTTCAACTAAAATTGTCTTTACAAAAGTTAACTTATGAAACTCTAATGCTACGTGTTTCAAATAAATTGAATTTAGAGCCCCTAAGTGGATTTAGGCTATCTTATCAGAGAAATGGTAAAGTTTATTTGTTAACCGACAATGAAGATGTTGAACGATTCATTGCTTACATTAGTGTTTCACAAGATGATGTTACATTGTATGTTGTTGAACCTAGAAGTAGTATTGTTGGGTCAGTAGGGTAGTAATCAACTAAGTTTTTCTCAAAACCCACAACCTTTCTCTAATCCAAATCCCAATCAACTTTCAGCACCAAATTCCGGTTTTCGTATTGACCAGTTAGACGATGATGAGCCAACAGAAAAAATTGTGAGTACTAGTCAGTATTTGAAATTTGGTCTTGGTCAATATCCGGACTTTGATATTGGTCAATACACGGATTTTGATGATGTTTCAGAAGAAGAAACAGACCCTGCGTGTAATGATTTTAATATTGGTCAATACCCGAATTTTGATGATGAAACAGCCGTTGCCGAAGAATGTATTGTTGATGATAATGAGGAGGAAGTTACGACTGTGAATGAACATGTTGAACATCCATTCTGTAATTCATATAATCCTGAAGAAGAAAAAGAAGAAGAAAAAGTCCCCGAAGAAAAGAAAATGCCACGGGCGTATAACTGGAATATGCCAGAATTACTTCAGATACCGGAAGAAGAGTTGGTAAAGAAAGCAGTTGATTGTTACACAAAAGTTATTCGTATCAAGAAAGATGATTGTTTTGATACAAAGGAAGACTTGAAGATAGCTTTGTATACGAAATGTGTGGAAGATGGCTATCAACTAAAAGTTAACAAATCAAGCAAAGATCGTTTCGAAACAAGGTGTATGATTGACAAAAACTGTACGTGGCGTATGATTGCAAAGAGAATAAAAGATTGCGAAATGTTTCAAGTTAGGACTTTTATTGATAAACATACATGTTCAAGAACCCAAGTTTTTCCTCACCATAGACAGGCAAACAAAAAGGTGTTGGGTGGTTTTCTGGCTGAGTTAATGTTTTTGAATGGCAGGGTATATCGGGGACATGAAATTATGACTGACATGAATGCTCGGTTCAAGATTAGTATATCATATTCTCAAGCTTGGAGAGCCAAATGTTATGCCTTGGAATTGTTGAGGGGGTCGCCAGAAGCATCGTTTGCCCAACTGCCGGCTTATTGTCACAATTTAAAGCTGAAAAATCATGGGTCGGTAACTCATATCAAAACGTGTAGGTTCGGCTTCTCCATTGACTCATCCGGAAAAACCCGGGATAACCATGATGGGCGGGCGATATGACGAGTGTACCGGCCTACATCATCGTGTCCGAATCGTAGACCAGTGATTAAGCAGAACTCCTTCCGCCCAAAACAAGTATACGCTGGTGGAAAATGAAACCATATCTCTTCCTCACCACGTTGTATATTGTCGGGTAGATTTGATGTCATGGTCTGAAGCCACAAATGGGTCAAATTAGCATCTCCACCCGGATGTTGTACTCTCAGCCATGGCCCGAAGCAGGTTTCCTCAAACAATTGTCTTTGTGCAGGTGAAAGCTTCGAAGCAATTGTAGTGGCTAGGCTAACTTTATTCCTTAATGTCAATGAAGCCGAAAAAAATTTCTACAAAAACAATAAACATACCAAGTTAGATATACCAAAAACTACACTGTGAAGATATACCAAAAACAATAAACATAAAAAGTAGTAGTTTATTCTTGAAACTAAAATTTGCAACACTGTTTTGTCTTTTGGTTGAAATGAAAATCGCAACGAGAGAATGACTGTCGCAACGAGAGAAATGAAAATCGCAACGAGAGAATCGCAACGCGAAATGAAAATCGCAACGCGAAATGAAAATCGCAATGCGATTTTGGTTTCGCATTGCGATTCTCTGGTTGCGATTTTCATTTCGCGTTGCGAATCTCTCGTTGTGATTTTCATTTTTCTCGTTGCAGATAGTCATTTTCACGTTGCGATTTTCATTTCTCTCGTTGCGACTCTTCTGCAAATTGAAACTTGAATGGATTGCATTACTTCAACCAAAAGACAGAACAAAGACAAAGACAAATACTAACTTGAAAATCGCAACGAGAGAATAGCAACGCGAAATGAAAATCGCAACGAGAGAATCGTAATGCGAAATGAAATCTAAGTGAAATGGTTAATCTATTATTGAAATGACCAGTAAACTTATCATCAGTTTCAATATGAAAAACCTACAATAATGCAAAAATTTCAAAATAAAAATAATTAAAAAAACTGACCCTCGGAGGTTGATTTTCCATTTCTGAATATTGTGAGGGATTTCTGACCGTGAATGGTTGTGAGGGATTTCGCCGGAGATGGGGACGGAAATCTTCGGAGATGGGGACGGATTTCGCCGTAGAGAGTGAGAGATGGAGATGGGACTGAGTTGTGATTTTAGGTTTTAGGTTATGAGTTGCGATTACGGGATTTTGTCTTAATATTCGTTTTTGTAATTTGAAAATAAAATACGCGTAGCGATTATAATGGCGCTTTAAAAATCGCGTTGCGATTTATGGATACGCGTTGCGATTTTACGTATTGTCGTTATGATTTACGGATACGCGTTGCGATATACGGATACGCATTGCGATTTACGGATACGCGTTGCGATTTACGGATACACGTTGCGATTTACGGATACGCGTTGCGATTTATGTGTTCGCGTTGCGATTTTCATATTCGCGTTGCGATTCTGGAAAATCGCAATGCGAATTTGTACTATCGCATTGCGATTTTCAAGAATCGCGTTGCGATTTTCAAGAATCGCGTTGCGATTTTGGAAACTGATTTGCGATTATGGGGATCGCGTTGCGATTTTTATTTCGCGTTGCGATTTTGTTGGTCATTTTGGCAAATCCAAAAAAAGTTGGTTAAAATCGTATATTATAAGGCATTTTTGGTCACTGAGGCGATTTTCTCTAAAATTAAGGATTTCATATCTTCAGGTAAAAATGTTCAGAATTTAACTTGGTTAGAAGTGAATTTTTGTCTAACATTTTCTTAGGGACCATTCATGACTTTGATTTTTCTTCGTTAGATATTGTGATTGACCTTAGTGTGTCTCAGTTATTGCTGTTCAATGAAATTTATTAGGATGGAGGACTTGTTTTTCTCCCTTCCATTGATCTTTGTTAATTGTAAGCTTTGAATTCGTTGAACTGTAATTGACTAATTGGTTTTCTTATGGACTTTGGGAAGTCTCTTTAAGAGCCTAGAGTTTTCTCTGCACAGCTTCTATAGATGGAAACAATGAAGGTTTTTTCAGCTAAGGTGGAGGATGGAAGAGAAGGACAAGACGGGAAGCCGTCGGTTGGTCCTGTCTATCGTAACCTACTCGCCAAGCAAGGATACCCTCCACTCGATCCCGATATGTCTACTACATGGACTCTTTTCAGGTAACTTTCCATGTTGCATCTCTTTTGATGAATTAACATACTAGATAAGGAATTTGCATGGACAAAACCTGTGAGAAGGAATGCCTTATCTAGTATGTGATTAGACTAATACAATTTAGCTCATAGTTAGCATGCTAGAATTTTGACAACAAGAAGGATCTCTTATTCTGCAGTTCATCTGTTGAGAAGTACCCTGGAAACAGGATGCTTGGATGGCGGAAAATTGTTGATGGCAAGGTTAAATTTATTTTCAAAACCCGATTTCAGTATTCGTACCAGATTTGTACCAGTTGTTTTGTTTACTTTGTTTAGTCTTTAGGTGGGCCCTTATATCTGGAAAACATATAAGGAAGTTTATGATGAAGTTCTGCATGTCGGTTCCGCTTTGCGAGCATCTGGTGCTGAACCTGTAAGCATAAAAATGTCAATTTTCTAAGGCCTTCGCAAGAAAGCGCGAGTTTGCTCTTTACTCTGATCTTTCCTCTTTGTTGTTCTACTCACATATTTGTGGCAGGGATGTCGAGTTGGGATTTATGGAGCAAACTGCCCTCAGTGGATCATGGCAATGGAGGTCTGCTTCCAGATTTTCTATATGAAATGTTTTTCAGAACTTTAAGTTATAAGTTCACTAGTTGTTTATAGAGGTTCTTGCCTCAAATGCAATAATCTTTCTGAATTCAGGGCTATTGTATCGACTGTGATAACACCTTTTTCTTCCAATGCTTGTAGGCCTGCGGTGCCCACAGGTTGGTTTGTGTGCCTCTCTATGATACACTCGGTAAATGCCTCTTGAGAAATTTCCTTCTTTTGGAGAAAAATCAGCATTCTTCTTAACAGCATGAGCTTAAGTATCTATCTTCTTGTTACTTTATGCAGGTCCTGGAGCTGTAAATTATATTATAGATCACGCAGAGATTGATTTCGTGTTCGTTCAAGACATAAAAGTAAAAGAAGTAAGGTTACGGTTTAACCTATGCCTATTTCCATATTCTTCTACAATGTCCGAACCAACATTCTGATGTTACTCATGCCTTTGCAGCTTTTGAATCCAAATTGTAGATCTACTCAACGGTTGAAAGGTGAAAAATGATTAATAAGCTTAAGTTTTCTGAAACAGCTTGAATCATGTATACTTAGTTTTATTCTGGTGGCAGCAATGGTTTGCTTCACATTGTTGACCGAAGAAGACAATGCTAAGGCATCTCAAACGGGGATTAAGATGTACTCGTGGACCGAGTTTCTCCGAACGGTTGGTGTCCAATCTTAACTTCTATACTCTCGAGATTTCGTTGTGATCTTTATGTCTGAACCTATTGATTCATCAGGGAAAGGAAAATCCTCGGGAGATATCAGCACCACAACCATTTGACATTTGCACCATAATGTATACTAGTGGCACCAGTGGCAATCCTAAAGGTGTTGTGTTAACTCATGAAACAATGGCAACATTTGTAAACGGCGTCGATATTTTCATGGATCAATTTGAGGACAAGGTATATTTAATGCTTGAACTCCATATAGGCAATCTCTTCGAAATGGGATTCTTCTCCTCTTGTTTAAGTAACATCACCGTGTTCTTTCTCACTAACAATTAGTTTGGGACTGATTTCAAGTGTGCGTTTGTATAAGTATAATGTCGGTTCACCTTCCTCATGCATACTTTGTTACGCAGATGACAGTGGACGATGTGTATCTGTCCTTCCTCCCCCTTGCTCATATCCTTGACCGCATGATCGAGGAATACTTTTTCCATAAAGGAGCATCTGTTGGCTACTACCACGGGGTTTGCTGCTGGAACCCTGTTTCATAATTTTTGGTTGAAACTTAATCATAATTTAAATGCATAAGATATGTTTATACAGAACTTGAAGGAACTGAGGGATGACATAATGGAGTTAAAACCGACATTTCTAGCAGGTGTACCCCGAGTTTATGATATGATTCATGAAGGCAAGTCATTGGAAAATCTTTATCTGCTGACTTATTTTGAGTGACAATGGTTCCCTCATCGAAGTTTATCCGTGTTTTAGGTATTCAGAAAGCACTACAAGAACTCAATCCATTGAGGAAGTGGATTTTCGACGCCCTCTATAAACAGTAAAACAATACTCCCTACAGAGAAAAGCACATTCCCTTCAATTTGTAGGAGAAGTGCATACAGAATGACCATGATGCTGATGCATGCTTGTTTTGTTTACAGCAAACTTTCATGGATGAATCGAGGGTATAAGCATAAATATGCATCACCATTAGCTGATTTGTTGGCCTTCAGGAAGGTGGTTTCTTAGTGTACTCTAAAAACTTCTACACTAAAAATTTGGCCAAAACCAGCCGAATTCTTTCCCGGTGTTATCATCTCCGGAAGTGAAGAGTGTGTTCTAATGTTTTATCATCTCTTTTCGATTTCTACAAGGTCAAAGCTAAGTTAGGTGGACGGCTTCGGTTGTTACTATCCGGAGGTGCACCATTGAGCTCTGAAGTGGAAGAGTTCCTGCGGGTCACTTGTTGTTGCTTTGTTGTCCAAGGATATGGTAAATTCCTGTCTGTTGATATATGGAAAAATAAGCACACAATATCTATTTCCTTTTAAGTTCCTGCAGGTCACTTGTCGTACAGCTTTTGTGCATGTTAAATAATTTATGTTGTGTTTCTTATAGGATTGACTGAAACTTGTGGAGCATGCACTATTGGTTTTCCAGACGAGATGTGCTTCGTTGGTGCTGTCGGATCCCCGGCTGTGTACAACGAGTTGCGTTTAGAGGAGGTTCCGGACATGGGTTACAATCCACTGGGAAATCCTCCCTGTGGTGAGGTATGCGTGAGAGGAAAGACTATTTTCTCAGAGTACTATAAAAACCCTGAACTGACGAGAGAATCTTTCAAGGATGGATGGTTTCATACAGGTTAGGATGTTCAGTTTTGGGTCAAACTCTCAAACTGATCCTTCAATCACCATTTTTGTACTCTAATTCCATCGTGGTCGACGCTTGCAGGAGACATAGGGCAAATGCTTCCTAACGGAGTTGTTAAGGTTATCGACAGGAAGAAAAATCTTATTAAGCTCTCCCAGGGAGAGTATGTGGCACTAGAGCACTTGGAAAATGTTTACGGAGTAACTCCGATCGTCGACGATGTGAGCATCTCCTTTCATTAGCTTCTTAACTGATCTCCCAACAAAGTAATGTAATCTAAATCCATTTAAAAACCAACTTTCATTAGGTATGGGTCTATGGAAACAGCTTCAAATCAATGCTGGTTGCCATAGTTGTGCTACATGAAGAAAATGCTAGAAAGTGGGCCAATTTAAACGGTTACACTGCTTCCCTTTCCGAGCTCTGTTCATTGAGTAAGCTTCAGAATCATGTCCTCTCAGAGCTGAAATCCACAGCTGAGAAAAACAAGGTAACGTTTACTTTTAAGTTCAATCTGCAACTTCATTTACATGTTCATTTATTTACTCTTCGTTTGGATCTTTTGAAAACCAGATGAGAGGTTTCGAGTACATCAAAGGAGTGATCTTGGAAGCTCAGCCTTTCGACATGGAACGAGATCTGGTGACTGCAACATTGAAGAAGAAAAGAAACAACCTGCTCAAATTTTATCAGGTAATCTGCATGTAACGGATTTTAGACTTCTTTTGCATATATGCTTCTGGCTTAAGTTATCAAGAAACTGATTCAAGTTATTTTGCATGATGTTTGAACAGACTGAAATCGATGCACTCTACCAGAACTTGGCTGCAAAAATATGAGAAGTTGAAGTAAAGTGTTTGTGTGTGCCGGATACCGCTGTTATTTTTATCCTATAAATGTAACTTTGCTTTAAGTGGAAAATGGCGTTTGCAGTTTTGAATGCCTATGCACAATGTATAAAATTTGTGGTAATTAATGAAATAAATGTTTATGTACTACTGAAGAAACGTAATATTCACTCGTATTTATTCATCCATATTGTGAGTGTAACATAAACTAATGAACATTTATATGTTTGTGAAGCCCTTAATCTCCTTTGAGATTCTTGTGACCAATTCTGTACAAAGCACGAGCATTTATAAATGCAAACTTAACCTGACCCACGTCTGGAAACTAGAAGTCCATCCAGGGATATGGAGGATTTTATGTTGGAAACGAACTTATAATATTATAAAACATTTTATGTTGTAAACAAACTTATAATAATATAAAACGGATAAACTTATAAAATTTAAAGGATGGCACAAAAACGATATCTAAAATATATGAGAACTTAAAATTTTTAAGAGGACTCTCGTCCCGCCCCTTGGTTTATCCCTGAATCCGTCTAATTGAAACACTAAGTCTCCATTTATGGGATGGCAAGGGCTTTCAAACCAGGTTTCCCATAGAAGCCTAATGGGAACCATGCCTTGACCATGGAACGAACAACAAATTTCTTTCGACAACTCGGTCCTATACTCATTCTGGAGTTTAAACAGAGTACCTTCGATTTCGATCTCCACGAGAATTACATTCGGGTCACTTACAAGCTCTTGATGGACTGAGGCATGTCGTTTATGTAAGGGAGTTGGGTGTGTCGACGCAGTTGTAAGGTGGCAATTTTGCTGCTAATTGATGTTATTGGATGAGACTTCCATCTACAGTTCAAACCTGAATAATACCTTTCTGGCCATTTAACTGAGTTTGATCGAACCTGGAGCATCCACTTTTCGGCAGTGAGAGTATTTATTTAAGGGTATTTGATCTGGATGAATATTATTTTCTGTTTAAATTAAATTTAAAAATTTCAAATCAAGTCAAATAAATTTATTTATTTGAATTTTTATTCAAATTTAATTATAATTATTTATACATTCCAATTTAGAAGATTTTTTCTAACCATATACGATAACATATATATTTCTTCTTATATTTTTTTATATATGATGATCGCATACTAATTTGACATCCATGTAACTAAAAAGTAACCTTAAAATGTAAGGATGCTAATAATTGGACTTGAATCTTTAAATATAAAAAATAGAGGCTAAATTCTTAAAATTAAAAATAAGATTAAATTCCAAATGTACAGAAAGTAAAGGGACAAAAAACCTTATTTTAAACATTCTAGAACAGGTTTATAGATCATGCTTCTGAAGAAAATAATTCAGTATAACGATCAAAAGTAAAACCAATGTATGACCCAGAACGAAAGTGAAGACACCAAACATTTGGTAGCCAAATGCTCTTGCAAACATAAGCATTTCCAACAAAGACATGGTTAAACTGGCTGGTGTTTTTGACCAAACTTACTAATTAAAGACCAAGAACGCTTCAATATGACCTCTTCAGGCAAATAACCTGATTTTCCAAGCCACGACACAGCATTTCCACTTCAACCCAAAAGAATCGCCACAATACCAAATTGCTTGCAAGAGAAAAATAAACCTCGGGAGAATGGACACACTGGGTGCTAATAATTGGTCCAACCATACAAAAACAGATAGAAATTTCCTCATGTTCTTTAAAAACGTAGAGTCCACTAGTTAATGCAAACAAACAACAAATCGAGACAAGGCTTATTTCCGAACGTAACTACTCTAGCTAAAAACCAAAACCTCGTCCGACATTCTTAATAGCCAAATTATAAAATCGCAATTGGAACAAACTGAGATAAGGCATTCAAAGAGTCAGTGTTCCCATCTCAACTCCGATACAGAACCAACATACTTACCTAGACTTGAGCTCACCATTGTATTACTCCCTTACAGACCAAGTTCTGATGGACCCTGAAAATTTTTGGAGCAAAACTTTTACTTTAATCCGAAGAGGAAATAAAATCAGAAATAACCACAAGAACAATTGGATACCGCTTTCCATCCATACCCTAAACATGTCTTATCCAGCAAGAAACTTGCTAGTTGCCACAAGTTTCGACAAGATTATGAACATCCAAGGAATTGAGAAAGACGAGAGATGAACAGAACCAATCATTTCCCATTATTTATTAAAGCATGCAATAACTCACCTAATCAATCCCATTAAATCGGTTTAGTACCGATTGTAAGCTTTCTCAAAATCTTCATGCCTCTGACGCTGGAACTCACCATAAGAGTCATGAAGCCTGGAGGAATAGTTTTCCATAGGATTTGGGTACCTGCCCCTAGAATCCATGGGTAAACTAGCTCCAGCATAATGAGCATGGACTGATGAGCCATCATATTCTGAATAAGCCTGCTGTTTATAACCACCAAAGCCTGAGGCAGACATTTGTTGCCGTGCCTGTTGCTGATGCCTCCGAGGATCCAATTGAAGAAATTCCTCCCACTGTTTCGCATGTGTGTCCCTCAGTACAGCTGATTTCTTGATGTAGTTCTCTCTCATCTCCTTGATCGTCTAAAATTAGTAAAACCGGAAGTCAGAATCAGAATTTCCATACTGCTACAACAAACAGTGGAATGGCTCTGCCTGCATCATTCAATGATGAAGACCACACAACAGTTCTTTCTTCTTGTTCCCCAGCGTAAAAGAGATCAGATAATTCAATGTGAAAGCTCATCGACACGGATAGATACCCCACATGGTCATCTCTAACATTCAATCCACACCATCAGAAGCCCCATATACAACCTAAATGAAGTATGGCTTTCCATAAATGCATGGACTAGGGTGTAAGATTGGCTCTACGAGGATGAATTAGGAGATAGACCGATAGATAGAAAATGAAAAAAAGGGGGAGGGATCAATGCAGCACTCCAAAAATATGTTGAACTAACTATGAAACAAAGCAAGAACAAAAATCATTTTTTCCAGCTACAGGATTTTGAAATTCACGGTGCACATTGCAGGGTTTTTTTTTCAGTTAATTAATGTTAAAAAAAATTACAATCCCATTCTGATAACTAAAGTTTAAACTTTTTTACCATATCCCAGAATGATCAAGGCTTATCAAAGAAACCATTTACCACCAAAAGCACTATTGACAGTCAAACAAGATAAATATCTTACCTCCCGATGCTTATAATTCTCTTCGTCTTCTTCCTTATCACAAATTCTCCCAAGTTCCAGTGCCTCTCTCTTATATTCCAACTCCAACTCATCTAATGTTTGCGGGAAGGCATGGTATTTGAACTGATTGCCAGATTGCAAATCAGATCCTGTCTCTCAGTATCCCATCCATCAGTTCTATAAGCTCCCATGTTTCGATTATGACCCTCATAGTTATTAAATGAGTTACCAGCATAAGGCAAACGACCTGGGGATTTAGAGTGGCTCGAGCGTCCTCTAGCTCCATCATTACCATAAGCTTCATGAAGTGAAGAGTATGGTAAGCACTTGATTCAAATGCGGAAAGATCAGCTTTTAACTAGACATACAATCTTATATTCATAAAGTGAATCCATCCGTTGGAATACACAAATGATTTCACTAAATAAGTTCCTTTTAGAGAAGATTCATTCAATTCAAACCAAATCTTGACATTACTTCAGAATCGTACACATAATGCTTGAACATAAGAACTTACCTCTTGCTGCAAACAAATGATAAGCAGTATGCAGCATTATTAATATGTACAATAAAAAAATTACGAGTACAGAATAACCTAGACAATAAACAAGCCACGAGCCTGGGATTACCAGCTTTATATTGATGCCGTAAACATATCCTATGCTGTCCCTACCTTGCGGAGAATCTCTAGAAATTTTCCGTAGATCATCACGGACACGGTCTTCCACAGCCTTATCTTGCCTACTAAATTGTTGTTGGAAGTGTGGTGAATTATGTGTCCTTGAATGAGCCCTTTGTGATTCAGGGCGACGCAACCGTGCACCAACAGGACTTCGTTCAGGGGACCTTGATCTGCTCATGTGAGAACTAGAACCCCGTTGATCACCTTCATCCTTTACTTTGTGTACAGCATCCACACCCTTTTTCAATATTAACCTATCCTTACCGCTAACAATTATAAATTTCTCATCCATTTTGATTTTGCAACCAATATCTTTCTCGATCCCCCGAATAACTTTCTCTGTGAAAAGAGCTTTTACATGTGGGTCTCTAGCAGGTACTCTTTCAAAGAAATCTTGAGACTTGCGATTTGCTCCAAGAGTGGATGGACAACCCTACAAATGTATGAAACAACATAACACTTGAAGAAACAAGGGGAAAATCTTCTCTTCTCAAGGAAAGTAAGTCGATAAAAACAAAAACAATTTCTACCTCACTTAAACAGGGCTCTCCACCATTATACACAGGTTATCCATGATATCCATTATTGAAGCAACTAGTTATTAAAATAAAAATATAAAGAGTCATTGATAGTTAAACCTGAGTGAAGTGGCCTGATTCTCCACATATTTTGCAAATCATTTCTTCTTCTTTCCTCTTCTTCCAATTCCTCTCAGTAGCTTTGGATTTAGCCTCCCAAACCTTAGCTTCCCGGCTGGTGAAGTCGATGGGCACCGCATTAGGGTCAGGCTGTTCTTCTTCCTCATTTGAACCAGCATGAGGACGTTTATTTTCTTTCACCCTATCCTGTGCCTTGGAAGCTGCGGACCCTAGCGGACCAGTGTATTCCTTGTAAAGTTCACTGAAATCATCATCCATATCTGGGTCTGGTCTGCTTGCCATTGATATTAAAACAAACAAACCATATACAATACCCTGCCCAACCAATTACATTCATCGTTATCTATCATCTGGAAGCAAAATTTTGTGAACAAAAGCACTATACGCAGGTAACATGTATAATTCTAATAAGCTAACAATTTCCAGCAGTATTCATAGGTTTTGAATTGGCTTCTCATAAATCTATTTATAAAACTGCAATACAGAAAATTCATTCGAGGTTGCAATAAGCAATTAATCAGTTCCACGAATGAAAATAATAATAATAATAAAAGAGGAAGGAAAATTATACCGGAAAAAAAGTGCTTCTGAGAGCCGAACGACTTGTACGACGAATATGGAATCTTCTAGGGCTGTGGCTGTGGTAGCCGCTTTTACTTCTGTTTTGGGGACATATCCTCGGGGTTTTCCTTTAATAAATATTTCACTCGTCACCCTTATTTTTTAAAATCTATATTTTCACATCCCTAATAAGTTTCTCTCTATCATCTTTCTATGAACACCTTATAACTTCGGATATAATATAAAAATATTATTCGATACATAATTCTTAGGGTAAATTACATAAATAGTCTAATAATTATAAGATATTATTTTATTAAGTTTCTCAATTATTAAAAATTATAAAATTATTATCTAGTTATTTAATTTTATGTTGAACGTTTCAATAAATAAAATAATTGTAACCATAGTATTATAAAATTGAGTAGAGGAGAATGTGGCACATTGACATTAAATAAGTGAGGGACATAAATCTCACACAGAAAAAATAGTGATTATAAATTTTATAAAAAATACTCTACACATATATATATATATATATATATATATATATATATATATATATATATATATATATATATATATATATATATATATATATATATATATATATAAATTAGAAGAAACTACCACACCTTAAAAAAATAGACACATAAATTTCACATGCAAAAGAAAGAAAGAATAATTAATTGCAAATATTATTTCATCTCATAAAAAATAAAATAATTAATTGTAATTTTAAAAAAATAAAAATATTTGCTAAAACCTAATTAGAATTGAAATTGGGTCCGGTCCATAATGAGAAAGAACTAAAAGACTTGACACAGAACTCGTAGTCGTAGTGGTCGGGGAAATCGGGTTTCTCATAAAAGGAAGGGTTCAGCGTTTTACTTTTCACCTAGTACTTTACTGCTTCTTCTTTGTGTTTTTCCAGGGGTTTGAAGCAATCGTCTCCATCGATGGATAGACACAGAGATCGCGGAGAACGGTTCAACGATCGCCCGCCCTTAAACCCTACTCCTTGGTTTCCCAATACTCCAAGACCTAAAATCCCCCCCGACTACCACCACCAACACCACTATCATCATTATAACAACCGGCCTCCCCACCAGCAATTCGATTACCGGCCTCCCCACCCGCAATTTGATCACCGGCCTCCCCACCCGCAATTTGATCACCGGCCTCCCCACCCGCAATTCGATCACCGGCCTCCTCACCCGCAATTCGATCACCGGCCCACCCAGCAGCCATTCGAACACCGGCCTAGCCAGCAGCCATTCGAACACCGGCCTAGCCAGCATCAATTTGAGCACCCTCCGAACAATCAACGCCAATTTGAACGCGTCCCGGAGCAGCATCAACAACCGATCAGTGAACAGAACGACAGATTCTGGTCCAACGGTGGCAACGGTCCCAATTCCGATCGAAAGAGAGGGTTTCACGATTCTGGTCGAGGAGCCTCTCCAGGTAACAACTTTAGATTACGTTTTCGTATTTTAATTCTATTTCCTTTTATTAGGATTTAGCCTCAGTTTGGTTGTGCCCAATTGCCCCTTTTCATTTTTGCTTGGAATGTATAATATATTTTTACAATTTATGAACCTTTGAGAATTCATATTTTCTCTCATTCCTCTTGAAAAAATTCAGATCATAAAGATGGAAGCAATATACCAAAACTTTATATAGCAACGGTTCCAAAAAGTGCTACTGAAGAATCTGTAAGCTATTATCACTTAAAGGGATTATGCTTGTAGTAGTTATTGGTTCTTAATATTACTTGATCGTGCAGTTCCTTGAGTATGTGGCGTAACTATTGGGCTATTTCTCTTTTTTTGTTAGATCCGCACCCTGTTTCAAGAACATGGAAATGTTGTCGAGGTCATTCAACCAAAGGATAAGAAAACTGGTGAACTACATGGTATGTACAATATTTTATATTTTAGAATTAGTCGTGATTTACTTATAAGCAAAACTGTTTTTTTTAATGAAAGTTTTTTTTTTGTTATCAATTAAGTGGCTGCTTTCAGGAAATAAATGCTTTCACTTGTTTGTCATAGACTTACAAAGTTGCAATGAATAGTAGCTTGTTTATAATGTTATGCAAATGATGCTGTTTTCAGGATATTGTTTTGTGAAATATGCAACGGTTGAGGAAGCTGAGAGAGCAATTGCAGCCTTAAACAACCGGTATATGTTTCCTGGGGTATGTTCTTTATTTTCAGTCTGATAAGAAAATTCCATGGATGTTGGTTACAATACTGTGGCTAGGTATACCTTTCAGTATATTTGATTTTTCCAGGAATCGACTACCATCAAAGTCAGATATGCTGATGCTGAACGAGACCGCCTTGGTAAGGTTTTTACCCATTAGAACTTATATGGTCACTATTCTGTATATTGCATGCAACACCTTGATAATCCTGTCAACACTTTTACATCTTTAAATGTTAAACTCCGCTAGAGACAGTATGACTTTGCTCAACAGACTTTTAGGATTTGTTTATAATAAATTTATTGCAAGCAAACAATTATTTGTAATACTTGAAAAAGAAAGGAAGGACAGTAGGAAATTTTCAGGAATGCGTGCTACTTTTCTAAACCTTTAGGGTGTGTTTGGTTCACGAAATATAAGATTACAGAATAGGATTATGGATATTGATACATTAACTTGTTTTGTTTATTTGGCCGAACATAAGATTATGGTGTTTGGTTAGGTGAATGTAAGATTACCTGTTACTAACTGCTCTTGTTACAGAATTTGCTTTTTTAAATAAAATTAGTTATTTTTAATATTTTGGCATATTCTTGTATAAAAAAGGCGTACTAACTCTGTTTTGAACTCAAAACAAAAATGCCTACAAACCCTACTTTAACTTCAATTTCAAATTCAAAGAAAAAATGACTACAAACTTCTCTTTTGAAAAGGGTATAACTCATCTCATTCTTTTTTCATTCTTTCAAAATCATCCGAAACTGGAATTTCAACACCAAAATCATACTTAACTCCTTCAAGAGTAAGCTCAATCCCATCCGTTTTCTTCACTACATGGCTTATGTGAAAATTGTGAATTTTTAGTAATAAAAGTTTCAGATTTTTTGTTGAGTTTTGGGTTAGGAAATATGTATTTTGTCATAATTATATATATATATATATATATATATATAAAACAAAAATTATAATCACAATTAATATGTTAATAAACGAATAGTTAGACAGAGTATGTATAATAAGAAATTTTAATTTTTTAAATATACTTAAATTTTATTCGTGAAAGAAAGACTAAATTGATTAAAATTATAAAAATAAGGGATGAATTGGTCCAAAATCTATGATTATGCACGTAATATTACGGATGGAACGGGGTGGTATGAGGTTACACCCTATATTTCACCCTGCTCGTAATGTTAGATTACGGTGTTCGCAAACCAAACACCGTAATCCTATACTGGAATCTAAGATTACGCACTATAATCTTAGATAATGCGAACCAAACACCCCCTTAGAAGATGGTAGAATTTTCAAAATTGTAATATAGTTTGATTTTCTTTCTATATAAATTTGTTCTGAGTGCTTTGTTTGTTTGTGTGGTAGGGCTACTTCCAGATAAATTATACGTGTGTTGCCTAAATAAACAAGCTTCTAGAAGGGAGGTTGAAGAAGTATGTTCTGTATACACTGAGAGCTCATGATTAGTTTGGTTTTACTTGTACCAATTAATTTTATTACTTGTGCTTGTTTACGAATTCAAGTCTAATCTGATATGTGAGGTTAATTAATATGGGATTACGGTGCAAGATGTGAACACTGCCATTCTGCCCAAGGATTTAGCAGTTACCAAATGGCTATCTTTACATTTTGTTCTTTAGCACTGGAACAATACTTTCAGATTGAGAAGATATGCTGTTTATGTTTGACCATAAGAGTTTTGTGTTATGCATGATGAATCAGCCTGCAAACTATGCAAGATACATTTGAACTTGCTTGCATGCAGGATGGGTTCTATTAGGGTATTTGATATTTGGTAACAGAGTTACATTATTCTGATTAGGTTACTTATATGATTGCATTAGTGTATAATATATCTATGCATTTCAACTCTTTAAAGCCTGATTCATGTCATGCTGAGTCCTGCATTTGATTGTAAACCATATGTTTATTTTTCCCATTCTCATCTCAATGCTTCCCCCAAAAATATTCTCTTCAAAGTCAATATTGGCTATAGCATATTTCTTGTGTTTTGAGATGTATTCAGCAAGTATTTCTTCTTTCAGATATTTTCTCCATATGGCCATGTTATAGACCTCTACATTGTACGTGACGAGCACGGGGAAATGCGTGGTTTGTTCTTATCAATCTTAATCATCTCTTTATTGACAAACATACTTGCTTAGAATGGACATATTGAATATGATAATTTGCTTTATCTGCCAATGTGATTTCACCAGATTAGCTTATGTTTACAATTGGATGTTGAATGTTTTGTCTAGCTCTTGTATCTTTTATTTCTTTCATTTTTAGAACAGTTTACTTGGCTTTGCTTTTCAACCACAGCTGCTTCTGAACAGACATTTATGTTTTTTGAAGGATGCGGATTTGTCCAATTTTCTCACAGAGAAATGGCTCAGGCTGCTATCAGAGGATTAAATGGAATTTTCACTATGAAGGTAATGCTCATGATTATCATTTTGTTGCGTTATATCGTCTTATGCTAACGAAGAGTACTAATTTAGTTGTTTTTTATCCCCGTGCCTTTTTTAGGGTTGTGACCAGCCATTGATTGTTCGATTTGCAAATCCAAAGAGACCTCGAAATGGGGAACCAAGGTTTCTTCCTGGATACTTGGACTTTTTTTCATTATACTTGTAACCATACATTGCTGTTTGGTTTGATACTAACATATTATGAGAGAATTGCATTTTAGTCATGCCTGACATTGCCCATTTAATTTACTGTCATTTAATTACAGTATACACACAGTTTAAGGTCTTTGACATTCATGTTAGGCTTTCTAGTTGGATATTCTAACTTGCAAAGAAGCAAAACCTTTTTTTTCAAGTTGTTGCTGAATTATAGAAACTTGATTTATTTTCTGATTCGGCTTATAACTGCATGCCTTAACACAACATGCTCTTTCATAGTTAAACTATGTTAACATATTGCTCTATTTCCAGGGGCAATTATGCTTTAAATAGCATAACTTCTGGCCCCCATCCTCAAGAATTTGCTATGAGGTAAGCTCTTTTCCCATAATTTTTTTTTATTACTTTTAACATTTATTCATGTTCAAGAAATTTGATGGAGTTTCTTTGTTGTTTGCTTGTTCCAGACCTGTGCCCAATCTTGGTGACACAATGGGAGGACGTATGCCACCAAATGCATCATATCCTATGCAACACATTTCTGCAAATTCACAGCCACAGGGTGTCTCTCATTGGAAAAACCCTCAAGTTGCAGCATGCCATGGTACTTACCAATCATATCCTCCAGTTCAGCACGCACACTCACAACCAACTTCACTGCCATTGCAGCAAACACAAACTCCACAGGAAAGTTCTCAATCATCTCACCCAGCTGTCTCTGAGCAGAAACAGTTGCCTCTTATACCACCATCATCACAGGTTATAGCCCAGCAGAATTCAAATGTGCCCAAGCTAGAGGTACAAGGTTTATTTTATAAATTTAGAGAAAATATTTTATTTTATTATTTTTCTTACTAGGAGTCTGGAAATGTTAAAAGCCAAGAACAAAGGTGGCTTGAGAATCAATTTATTGTTGGTGCTTTTATCTCTTGAACTTCAATAGGAAACAGATGTAACTATCATGTCATTTTCCCTTGTAGATGCCTATCAAAAGGATCCCTTTCAATAACATTAACACTTGTCTTTTGATTCACTTATCTTTGTTCATTTTCTCCTCTTATGATAATGTGCTGTAATTGAAAATTCAACTCCAATTTCTCATATTTCTTCAGTTTCCACAGACTGGAAGTGGCCAGGCAACTCCTTCTAGTTCAGTTTCACCTGCAGCACCGCAAAGTCTTGACACTTTGCAAGAGTGTGATTGGAGTGAACACACCTGCCCAGAGGGGAACAAGTACTACTATAATTGTGTCACTTTTGAAAGCAGAGTAATTTTCCTGCCTTACATGGTTAAACCTGCATTTTGCTGCTTGCAGTTTTTCTTTCCAAGTGACTAGCAATCTGTGTTAAATTTGTATTGCAGTGGAATAAGCCAGAGGAATTCACAGTATTTGAGAAACTGTTGCAGAAGCAGCAAAATCCTGACGAACATACTCAGCCCGACTTGACTGGTCTTGCGGACCAAGTTTCTCAAAGTCCAGAGGTGCAGCTTCAGACCAGCCCGATGCATCAGAAACTCAAAGTTGAACAACCTTTTTCTACAATGGTTAGAAGTTATAATATATTTTTTTTTGTTTGAACTTTTCTTATTATTTCATTTTTCTCATTTTGCCCTTTTCCAGCTCAGAGGCCTTGTGATCAAACTGATGAACAACTAGGGATGGAAAAAAAACCCGAACCCGACGGGGAAAACCGAAAACCGAATTAAACGGGTCGGGTTCGGGGATGATAAACGGGGACGGGGACGGGGAAAACCCATTTATTTTAAACGGGGACGGGGATGGGGACGGGTTTGGTAATCCCCGCCCCGATTACCCGATTACCCGCCCCGATTACCCGACCCGATAAATATTAAAAATAATTATTTATATATATATATATAATATTAATAAATTTAATTTAAATAAAAAATATATATTTAATTTAAATATATATATATACCTGGTCCGATTCCCAGCCCAATACCGACCCAATACCCGACCCAATACCCGTTTAAATAATCGTTTGTGCTAAACGGGGATACCTGTTTCCCCGCGGTTTTCCCCGATTACCCGACGGGGATCCCCGTTTAAATCCCTGCGGTTTTTTAAACGGGGACGGGTACCGGTTTTTTAAACCGGGACGGGGACGGGGGGACCAATACCCGGCCCAAACCCGGCCCGTTGCCAGCCCTATGAACAACAGATACAGAAGTTTTTTTTAATGCAAAAACTTTATAGAATTTTTTAGATATATTTTGCGTCTGTGGATGCTGCATGTAAAACTCGGTTTCCTTATTATGGCATTTCTAGATGGTGTGATTTGCTTAACTTGGGGGCTTATTCCGATTTTCCAGGGACTGGACCATTTGGAAATGAGGTCTGAAACAAGTGCTTTTGTGGATCCAACGTGTGTTTAACTGCTATCAGGTGGCAGCATCTGCATGGTTATGGTTTGTGTAACCTCTCATGCTATGAACAATTTGGTTGCTATTGTGATTTTGATAGGAAAACTCAGATCAGGAACACATTAACTTGGGTTATTTTAGTGAACGACTGTAGTTGCAGCTTTGGAAAGTATGTATTAGACTTAGGTGGAGGGATGCCTGCTGTTATTGATTTGTGAGCGAGCGGTTTAAATATATTTTGATTATTAGTTCCATCGTTTTTATGATTGCAATTGTTTTACTTATATTGGTTGTGATCGTAATTTTAAATTATTCTAAAAAGGTTTATTTATTAGTGTAATGAAAAGTAACAGTCCTTGGGATTGGAGGTCCCGCTTTTCTCTAGAGCCCAGAGCCCAGGTGTTTTTGGATTATTTTCTCCACCGTCATCCACCCGTTGTCCACCGCCGCCATCAGCCGTCTGCCGCCACTGTCAGCCTCCTGCCACCATACTCCGACCTCCGTTTGACGCCGTTTTTTCCTGGGAAGATCGTCTGCTCATGGGGAATTCAGATATGGCCTTAGATTTGCGAAAAAGACTGTTAATCGACGCAGATCTACAAACCGTCCACTATCGATTTACGCCGTCTCCCGCCGTCCGTGTTCGACACCGCCTCACCACCGAACTCAGCGTCTTATCGCGTCCAAAACCCGAGTATCATAGTGTCGAACTGAAATCTGACCAGGTGCATCTGATTCGGCTATCTTCTGGCGGAACTGAACTCATTTGTGAGGGCTTGTTTTCTCACCGTAACGAGATATGGGACCTAGCTTCCTGTCCATTAGATCAAAGAATTTGCTCCACTGTTTTTTCTGCTGGACCGGTAGCTCATTGTTTTTTTTTTCCCACTCTTTAGCCAAGAGATAGTAGAGCAAAATAGATCCCATTGTTTTGCTATAGTTGAATTAGTTGCTGGAACAACATTATCCTGTCTAAAAGTTACGAATGCTTGTTGCTCTAACAGCATTATCCTCTAGATCAAGATTATCCTCTAGATCAACATTATCCTAGGGTCGAGATTCGGTTCTTCTCTCCATTAATTTCCAGTGAACTGGTTCGGTAGTAAATACCCTATTCTTCAATCTTTCAGTTTTTTCCAATAAATCCTTATTCCAGCTTCCCAGATCTCTTCATGGAACTCCAACGGCCATCTCAGCCCAAGCGAACTCGTGGGTTTGCTGCAACAGCCGCTGTGAACCCCTCTAGTACCCCCTCCGGTCCCGACGACTCCTATTCCGACAAGGAAAATGGGAGAAGGAGAACGAAAAAGAGAGGACAAAGCTTCGGAAACGGAACAGGCGAGCCTTCACCAGACGTATGCTGGCCGGATTGAGGCAGTACGGTAATTTCCATCTCTCCGTGCGTTCTAATATGAACGATGTATTGGTCGCCTTGGCCTGTGAGGTAGGTTGGACAGTTGAGGCCGACGGCACTACCTACAGGCACTCGCCTTCGCCCCAAAATCAGCAAAATTTCAGAGTATATTCAACGAGGTCGGGTGAAAGTCCTTTATTAATCGGGCGTTTGAAAAATTGCTCTGTTAAAGCTACTTCAGACTATCAACCACTGTTGTTAGGTCTGACGACAATGGAATGTCTTCTTCTCAAGGAGGGAAACAAAAGGTCGAAAAGAATTATGCAGCACAGGCAACACTAGCTCTTCCTACCGGTGATATTGATCATGATGGAACCAAGGAGAGCACCACAAAAGGGTACTCCTATGAAAAGTTTTTTGACGTAACGAGAAGGAGAAGAAACGGGTTTCAAATTGGTCGAAGGATGGTCATCCAAGAATCGGAAATGGGATCAGAAATGGTTGTTACACGATTTTTATCGAAAACCTTCCAGAAACAATCCATTGGAAGAGACTTGAGTATATTTTTGGCACACATGGTCAAGTTATTGACTTCTTTATTCCTAAAAAAACTCGAAAGGGGTCCGATTTGGGTTTATTCGCTATGCAACAATTGAAGAAGCCAGGATAGCGATATCAAAGATGAATGGTAATTATATTTACGGCAGCAAAGTCAGAGTCTGTTTGGCTAAATATAAACCCCGACAATTGTTCATAGTTAGTTTGGGAGGGAAGATATTTCGAAGAATAAACTCTTTGAAGTTGAGGGCGTAGTGAACGAAGATAAACAACAAGTGTTGAGCAACTGTCTTGTGGGGTGGTGCAAGATCTTTATCAAAATTGGTAATCTTGCTAACCAAATACAAGCTAAAGGATTAGTTGGTTTCACGTTAATGAGAGCTGCTGGAAATGTAGTTCTCATGGTTTTTGAAGACGTTGATTCGTTGAGAAGCGTGAAGGATGATAAGTTAGAGACGCTTGCATAATGGTTTTCCAGAGTGAAAACTTGGTCAGACGGCCTAGTGGTGGAGTGTCGGCGCATGTGGTTAGTTTGCGAAGGTATCTCTTTTCACGCTTGGAATTATGATACTTCCAAAAAAAATTGCAACTAAGTGGGGCAAGTTAATAGCAATTGACAACAGTTGTGAGTTTCCATCGTCTTTTGATCGGGCTAAAATTCAAATACTCACAAATGCTCAATGGAGAATTGATGAGTTGTTGGAGTTGAGGTCGGTGATAATTTATTCAATATCTTGGTGCATGAAGTTGATCATTCCTTCAAACCTAATTCTTGGGTCCCTAAAGATTGTGATATTTCATTAGAACTTGCTCCTCCTATTGGATCGTGATTGTTCGTATTTTAGAAATAGGGTTATTGTTTTAGGGGCTTTTTGTTTGAAGATGTAAGATTTCTAGGTGATATGGTTTGTAATGGTGTATATTCCTATATGAGGGATCGGTGTTACCATATGTACTTAGTCTATTATTTAATAAAATATGAGACACTCTTTTCTTCTTTCCTATGTTCTTCAACATACTTTTAAGTATGTGGAAGAATATGAAGGAAGTTTTTAATGAGACCTTCAACTTATATAAAAAAACAGTCATTGGAACTGGATAATATGTTCATAACAATTAACTTTAACTTTTATAAACAATTGTAGAATTGTAAAAGTTAAATGAATAAATGTTTGATTAAATTTTATTGAAATCACAAAAATGCACTGAAGAATTCATATATAATTTTGAAATTAATTTAAGTATAATTAATACTAATTTAAATTAATATTATTTAAAAAAAAGTGAAATTTAATATAATATTTAAATAAACGATTCGAATTGACACATATCATTTTATTTGATAAAATATAATATTAAAATATAAATAATGCAATGGTTGCAGTTTAGGATAATGTTACGTTACATTATTGGTAAAATCAATGGAGACAAAGGCGAATTACAAAACTTATGCATGTTGTTTCATCCATCACCAGGTTAAAAAAAAGTGAAAATATAAAGGGAAAAGTATACAAAACTTGATATAAATTCCACTTAGTTGAAGATATATTAGGGATAATATAATATTTAATTTATTTATAATTCAAGATATAAACAAATTTTAATCACAAATAATCAAATGAATTTATATTTTAATAAAATATTATTAACTCAAAAGGTTATGTTTTTGTGTTTTATATCAAAACCTTGGAATTGAAGTTTAATAATTATGTAATTGTGATTAAAACAAGCAGTAGTACTAATCAAACAAATGAAGATGCAAGGAAATTGCAATACAACGACAATTACTGTATAATTTTGTAATATTAAAAGGTCAAAGACTCTGATTCAACGTCGGCTATTGGATGTGGAACGATTTAAATTTGTAAAACAAGAGACGGAATCCGAATAAATTGCTCCAATAACGAAAATTCGTGGTCGACGATGATGTCATTGCTTCGCCTCATCCTGCTAACGTTATTGGTGTTTGGATCCGGGCTAATCAGAAGAGTCATCTCGCATGAGGAATCTGGTGAGTGGAGTTGCGAGACAAACTCGGAGATCCAAGTCCAGGCGGATTTCAGACCCGGAGTCATAACCCTCGATGGTCACGCCGATGATTGGAAAGACATTGATGGGTTCGAGTTCTCTCTCCTCCCTGCTCTTGACCCGGACGAGGATCACGAATACAGAGATGGGAAAATGACGGTGAAGGTAAATGCTATCGCCTATTGCTTGGATTTCAAAATGGAATAACATTTAGCCATGACTTTGATGTCAAACTTTTTCGCGGGATTGTCTTAGGCCTTACATGATGGGAATGATATCTTCTTCTTGTTGCAAGTTGATGGGGACTATGCATACTCCAAAGGGTAAGCTCCTTTTTAATTAGAACTAGATTTAGTTTCTTTTTTTATGGGTTAGCCATTAAGATTGGAACCCCAGCAGATGTTGGTCATTCTTGGTCCTGTTTAAGATGTGAGATGTCCAATAAAAAGTTGAATAGCTAGCTGGTGTCTCACGCAAATGGTTAGCAAAGGAAGCTTATTAAATCATGATGCCATCATGCATGGCATGCGGAATCTGTTCACTTTCTTTGTTTCTTGTGGTATGAGTTTCAGTTTTCATTCTTTCAGTAGCTGGAATTGAATAGAGGAAATTTTCAGCTGAATCCATTGACATCCGAATTTCCTTATGTTAGTTATGTATTTTACTAGTTGTCCACACCCTGAGATTTTATTTGTGCTCATTCACATACAAAAATTTTGTGTTATTAATATATGTGTGCTCACCCTAAAAAAATATTTCTAGATCCCTCACGGACTCTGACTTCTCTATGTTAACGCCTTATGGCTAACCGGTTTTCTACTCTTTAATGCAGGGACAACGCCAAATGTCCATCTGTAGCTCTCATGTTTCAAATTGGCGACCTTGCTACTTATCATAATGTAAGTTATTTTATCCTGTGCCATGTTTATCTTTCTTTGATACTCTTTGTTAGCTTCCTTTGTTGCAAGTTTGAAAGTTGAGAAATAGTTTACTGTGGTGCAAGATGGGTGGCTGTGAAGAACAAAGGGACTCTTGCACTAACAAGACTTGCAAGGGACATGAAGTTGACATTATGCACTTTTCTATTGGAAATGCTATACCTGGAAGGCTTTATGGTGGCAATCCCATTGATAACGGAGAGGGAAATGGAGGTGATAGGTAATGTTGTACAATGTATCATTCGCCATCACAATATAGTTTGAAGTAGTACAATGTATTATTCGCCATCACAATAGTGCAGTGAAACAATGTACTCTTGTGGAAAAATGTTCTGGAATTTCGTACTTTATGATAATACTTTTATTTGCCGACAGGTTTGGTCATTTGGTTGATGTGTATTCTTGGAACCCGCACTGTAGATACCTTGATGGCATGGGTCCTTCTGGTAAATTCTAAGATCCTCTAGTCTTATTGGCCTGCTTTTTGAGTATGATATTTGCTTATTTGAGATGAAAACGATGGGACTTCCTTTTAGCATAGTGAAACAAAGTGGGATTAGGCACTAAAGAAAGTGACTACAGGGGTCATAGGATGAGAACAACTCCCACAAGTCAAATTTTTATCTTATATGAGACACTAGATTGCTTGCTTAATGGATATTGCACTTACTAGAAGGAACTTTTGAAGATCTTGAAGCATTAATAACTTCTTTAATGTCATGATCATTGAGGTAGCCACCAGCAATTATTTTTAATCTGCTTGACTATGGTTGTGTATTTATCTTAGTGCGTTTTGATAGCTATCATCCTGCCTGGGTATTGTTTTTAAGTGTTGAAATTACATTTTTATCTTGTTGTCTTCAACTTTTCATTTAAGTGCCTTCAACCAGGATCAAATTTACCCGTTCTAGGTGTTGCTTGTTTCTGCTATCTTATATTATTTTGAGAAGGAAGAGAACTATTTTGATTGGATAATCCAGTTGTTTCATTATCGTTTTAGGTTTCTCCCAATTTCCTACTATTATCTTCATAGGAGAAATTATGGCCCTTTTGATCTTATTTTGTTAGATATTGTTTCCTCCTCTCTGGTACAATTTCTGACTTATCAGTATCTCAATTCTCACTTTTTAGGGTTATTTATTTAGAAGATAAAAATTCCTTTGCTTTGTTTGATTATATATGACGCTATGGGTTTCTTCTCTGGTTTATATTTGAATCTCATCATCCAGATGCTAACTTCCTCTTCCTCCTTTCCAATCTATATGCATAAAATAGTTTTCTTCCTTCTCAGTAAATGAATCAGAAAGATTACATTCTTTTAGGAAACTCTATTCTTTAAACCACTTATCGATCTAACTCTTGGTGGAAGGCGTCATTTTGTCTCAATTTGAGAACTTGTAAATCCCTTACACACTAGTCTTATTCCATGAGTCTAAATGCTGCTGCATTTCTAAGTCTGCAATAGTTCCTTGCTTCCTGGCCAACTTTAAAAGGTATTGGTTGTACATCTAGGGGTCTGATTTACAACAAAGCTAGTGGATTCATATTGGTGTCTTTTAGTTATTGATTGACTTTGAGATATGTACTAGACAAAAATAACATTTTTGTTACTTATATTTCTCTTGTGGCTTCATTTAATATCTTTATCCAATGATGACTTCCTGCTCTGTTTCTTTCCTTTCTTTGCCCCGTTGTCCCCTTTAAAAGGCATTGGTTTTAATAGAACATTGATTTCCTCATTGTTTAAATAATAAGATTTATCCTTCTTCATTGTTAGGAAATGATTCCAGTGCACAGAATGACTGGAAAGGAGCATGGTGGCACAGTAGCTTCACGGTTCATTCAGGTAATTAAACCATCATGATCGTATTTACAAACAGAATGGTTATATATGTTGATGTGCATTTATTCTACAAGTCATGGTCCATTTGCAAACCTGCCGAGTTGTATGCACCCTTTTACATGTTTTTGGAGCTTATATAGGCAATTTCCTGTGTCAAGTTGGTAAGAAGCATTAAGCTCCTATTGATTTCAGGAAACAAGCATTTTCTTGAAAAATGAAAAAGATTGAAGAAAATGTGTTTTGGTTGAAATTTTAAAAACAGTTTTTGGAAAATGAAAATATGTAAAAATTGAAGGGATAAATTACAATGATGGTTACTGAACTTTTAGGGTGTTTTCACTTTGGTCACCAAAATTTTAGAACGTGCATTATAGTCACTGAACTTCTTTCATATGGTCTTGAAGTTTTCTTTAAAAAAAAACAAAGGTTCCAAATTGGCAGCCGCCGCAAAGGCCAAGTTTCTGATGGATTGGTTGTCGCCTTGTCGGTCAATCCCAACAGTGGAAAGGTTTCATTTAGCTAGAAGATTAACATAGTTCGGTTTCAAGCTAAACTGATGCTTGACAATGGTGGATTGAAAAGTTTTAGTGTTCGGTTTCGATTGAGATTTTAGGTTAGTAGAAGGTTTTTCGATAAGTTTGAAACGAAGGAAAGAAAGAGAAGAGTTGTTCGGTGATTTTTTGGAATGGAGAAATCATCGAACAAAGGCGGAAATGACGGCGAAAGGAGGAGCAGCGGCTGCCATATATTTTCTTAAGTTTTTAGCGTGCCATGCCAGTTTTTGTTAATGGTTTAACACCCCAATGATTGAAATAGAAGTTTTTCTTAACTGAAATGACTAATGGAAGTTTTTCGATTTCTGTGACCAAAGTGAAAGTGACTTAAACATTTAGTGACTATTAGTGTAGTTTACGCAAATTAAAAAAAGTTTTCTTTATTTTCACTAAAATGCTTTGAAATAATGGAGTTTAAAATAAAAATTATTTTTATTTTTAACTTTTAATTTAGTTGATGAATTGAACCAAATCCTTATAAACACAACTATTACTTTTCCAGTAACTTTTAAATATCAAATTTCTAATCCTAGTTCGAATTCATATATATAGGAACTCTTTTATTTTATTTCTCATATATAGGAACTCTTTTATATCTATTTATCAAATATGTTTTCTCATTAAAAAAAAAATAGAAAATGAAAGTTGTTTCTAATAGGAAAATAAAAAAGTTAAAAAAAATTTAGAAACCTAACAGAGCCTTATATTCTGTAATAGGGAAGGAATACAATTGGTTTATTTCTTGTGTTTTTCAACCAACATATCGATGCTAAACTACGCCTTGGTGTCAATACTTCCTCTTTCAATTTCTTAATGGAAAAAGTACATACTTTTAACAGGTTTTGTGGAGGAAGACAACCCTTACTCTACAGGGGGTCAGAAGGGAACATATTATTTCGAATTTTCTAGGCCTTTGAGAACCATGGACCGTCTTCAACAGGTTTGAAAATAATCTTCTGGCTTTAGGCTTTTAACTAATGGTATCAAATATAATCCACATTTTTGTATTTATAAAAATTCTCTTAGTCATCGTGTATTATGATGTATGCATGCTGTTTATGTTGCTTGTCATACAAGCGAGGTCATGGATCATGGCTTCGAATTGTCTGTTCCTTTCTAAAACTTGAGTGGTTTTGGTAGACTATGCTACCTTAGCAGAAGGCTGACATTTTTAATGAAAATTGAATACGTTATATAATTCTGATGTCAAAACATAAACGATAATACTGTGTTTCATTTCTGTTAAAACTGTTTACCTTGTTGAGTTACTTCTCTGTTGCATTGCAGGATGTTCAGTTCACATTAGGTGGATCGAGCAAGATGTCGGCTGCACTCTGGTATCCGGTTGACGGGAATCCATGGCACGGATCCGGACACTACACTATTAACTGTGATTGGGTGTCGTTGGATTTCACTTCGGGTGGTTCTAAGCTAACGGGGTCAGCGAAACCAAGCAGCTCCTGGGATGTCGCCTCTGCATTCTCTCTTTTATTCTCAGTAGCAGCTCTTTGTGTGGCCGTATTTGTAGCATACCAAGTTTCCAGACCCAAGAATATCCCATTCACACCAATGGAGAATCTTTAGATTATATAGAATTCAAGTCTGCCATCGTAGAATTCATCGAGCTCGAACTTATCATACATGTTAGACATTGTACTATTGCTTGTGTTTGTACTGCTTAGCTTGAGTTTGTACTATGAACATATATTCCTCCCCACTTATTAAATTTTTTAAATTAAAAAGGACAGTTTAGTTTTAGTTTATTTTTCTGCTTTTGGTAAAAGCTTCTGTTATTGATGAGTGGGGTGCTCCATTTCCTTGAGCACATCACATGTTTGATGACTTTCTGGGGATAATATAAGGAGCTGCAGAGCCTTAACTACCAATATTCAATGGAATGCCCTGACATTGAAATTCTTAAATACAATCTCATAGAAGTCACAGATTTTATTATCAAATCTTTAGTTGATATTAACCTTTGAGTTTAATCTTTAAACAATCCAAGTCGAAACCCGACAAGTGAAGAGTTCAATTCAAAGTTTAATGGACTTTTAGTGACGAATTCTGGGCCTTTTCAATTAATCAAGCCTTTACACCTAATGTTGGCCCAAACTATTAAAATAGTGGCAGCCGACCGACATCATAAATAAACGTAGGTGTAGCAATCGAGTCTTCGAATTGAGTTTGAGTTGGATTGTTTCAGGTATGAATCATATTTGGTTTAAGTTTCATTTGAATTAGATTTATATGGTCAAGTTAGATCAATACTGGATCACTCAATTTTTTATTCGAAACAATATTTAAATCTTCAAGTTAATTCAGATTGAATTTGATACAAGTCCAGTTGAGATATTTTAAAAAATCAACTAAATCTTCGAACTTAACAAAAAGAACTAATTAAATCTCTTTATCATATCATTAATAACATGAATTATCACGTTAACACCGTAAATTTTTTATCATTAATAACCGTCAACATCATATTCCATTTATAAAAAGATTAAATTATTTTTTCAGTTTAAAGATTATTATGCTTTTTTAAATGAGGATATAATGTACTATCAAATTTTAAAAATATTAAAGGCCTAGACTAACACTTTAGTTGTAGTTTATTGGTTAATTTTTTCAATAGAAATTGTTAGTATTATTAAAAAGTAAAAAATATTCAAAATCACAATAAAGATTTACAACTAATAACGTAAACTAAATACATAATTTAAACACGAGAAAATAAACTAGTTACTTTAGATCATACAAGGATCATAATGGAAAAGGTTAAAAACTCAACTAAAATACTCGCGATAAATAGATACGAATAAATTTGACTATATTGACAAGCAAACCATAAATGGATTAAACTATTGAAATATCAATGAGAATCGCAAATCAGAGTCGAACATCATGAGAAATTATCCATAAATATAAAATCATGTATCAAAATTTAGTCTGAGGGTACAGAGTATGGAAGATTAGTAAGATTACAAATAGTCATAATATTTACCACTCATGACATCGTTATATCCAACCCCAAAAAATGAAATAAAAAGAACTACCAAACAATAAGAAAGAAAACAGAAAACGTGTTATAAAGGCAAACAAAAATGTGTTACAAAGATAATTATTCTTATTAAAATTTGAAAAAAAAAACTGATGATTGATGACCAATACCAAAATTGATTTCGTATCTACTAAACAAAATTAAAGAAAAAATTCTAATTTATAGAACGAAAAAAAGAGCAAGAGAGAAAACGTAATATGCGTAAAATTCGAATTATAAATCTAGTTATAGGTTAAATTAAATATATTTTTAATATATTGTGTCATACTATCTTCACTTTAACGAGGCTCAATAACATAGTGGTAATAGTTTAAGGACACAACAATTATTTTATGATAAATTATAGGGTAAATTATATCATTGATCATTTAACTACGTGTCAATTTTATTTGAAAATCATCCAAATAATTAAAAAACACTATTTTCTCTATATTTACTAAACTAACATCATTTCTAAAATCGAGGTAGAGAGGCACGTTTGGGATAACGCACTTTGCACATGTGGCAAAAAGAAGCATCCCAAGGGGCTCACTTTTGATGAGGTAGCATGACACATGAAAGTGTATCTCATAGGACGAGCCTTTCCCAAATTTTCAATATATTTATAAAATTATACTTTAAAAAAATAAAAAAATAAAACTATAAGGACCAACAATGTAATTTGATACAAATTACATCATTGAGTTTAGGAGTGCTTAGGTTATATTTACTAACAATGTGGGATAGACTTCTTCTATCTTTTTCAAAGTAATCTTTAATTTTTTTAATTTTACTTAATTTATTAAGTTAGAGGTTTTTATTTTTAATATTGAAATATAAATTAGAGTTCGTATTAATTAAAATTGAATATCTCTTATATGTTAAAATATTTAAATATTTATTTTTTATTGAGTTAAATTTTGTTAAGAAATATTTTGATGAGAATATTTAAATTAGGTTTGTTATACTTACTAATTTGTTATGGAATTGTAACGCCCCGAATCTCGGGTTAATAGTTCGAGTCAACCCAAAGCCCAAAGTTGAGCCATTGGACCTTATATTATGGTTGGACCAAGTTTGTTGTTTGTGAGCTTGAGATAGGGCCCAAGAAAGTTGCTGGGGATGAGTAAATCATGAAAATAAAAGTAAATGGACTAAAAGTGTAGTTTACCCATAGCTATTTTGAAAGTTGGAAAACCCCTTCATAATATATGATTTTATGTGAACTAACCCCCTTACAAGCTCACCAAATACTCTTCCTATCTTCTCATTTTTTCCTAAAGTGAGAAATTTAGAGAAATCCAAGTTTAGTTGATTGAATCCAAGGTAAGTTTTCAACTCTTTATTCTTTAAGTTTCAATATAAGCTCAATTTCATTAGTTTTTATTCATATAACCAAAAATGGGTCTTGAGATATTTGTGAGAATCTATGGATTCTAACTAAGTTTTGAGTTATAGGGAGTTTGTTTAGATGTTATTCAACCCCTAGATGGATTGGTAATCCATTTTCTCATTTTGTTTAGTGAAGGAAATTCTCATTTTGTTTAGTGAAGGAAATAGGAGAAAGCTCAAGAACTAAAGGAAGAGAAAAGTTGAATCTTGAGTAAGTTGAGAAAGTTTCTAGCAACCCAAAAAGCATGGTAACACCTTTACAATTCTTCTATACTCTTAGTAAGTCATTAAAAGTTCAAGATAATTTAAATGTTTGAATTGAGCATGATAAGCATTTTCATGGTGAAATTATTGTTTTTGGGTTATAGATGTGTTTAAAGCCTCCATTATGACCCTTGTTGATCAAATAAAACTTTAAGCATGTTTGGGGACCTCACTAGTGTCTTTAGGATTGAAATATAGTATTTTAGTATGTGTTTTATGACTTCTGTAGGTAGAGTATCGATACTATAGGGATATTATCGATACTTATTCTTCGTTTTGGGCAAATTCGTGAGTTTCTGGGCAAGAGTAACTAAACATTGGGTCATAGTTTTGAAACTCCATGGGAGTTTCAAAACATGGAGTTTCAAAACTGGGCAGAACATAATGTTTAAAAGTATGGGTACTTATATAAAGTATCAAAACTTTTGCAGGAGTATCAATACTCTTGGGCTAGTATCGATACTTTCAGTCTGTTTTGGGCAAAAATGTTAGTTTTTAAGGAAATTAGACTCGAGGTACCCCAACACTTCATTTTTATCATCAAATAAGACTGAAAGTGAAAATATTAATGATATTAATATTACACTTAGAAACAAGATCAATTAGGATGACATAAAAATAGCCTTGGATGGTGCTCAGGAAATGATCAGGACACCCAAGTTCCTTTAGAAAATGCTAGCATTATCGAAAATATAGATTCAGTTCGGATATATCCTTAGGTAGTGCTCGAGGCACTTAAAGCTAACTACTTGGGCGCAAGGTCTGACACTCAAGGAGTGAGATAATCGAGGGATTGACCGATGCAGAGATTCCGGACAACCAACCTCTATAGACTAGAGGGGTGTGTAAGCTCCGAGATGCAGAACCCTCAACCGTACCATGATGTCTACCGTAGAGTAGAGAGTGTAGTATACGAGTATACTCACTATTGCAGTTATCAGTTAGCTTGAGCATGACTTGAACATTTTTAGTATGACTTAGTTGTTAGTGTGGCATTGGGCTAGTTAGCTCAGCGTTTGGAATTTGTTTCCTTACGCAGGTTAGTCGAGGAGCAGTCCGAGGACATTTTGACAGCAGTGATCCAGACTCAGATAGTGTATAGTACATCTCGAGTTTTTCTTTAAAGGGCATGTATAATTATAAACCCCAATTTGTATATTTTTGTTTGAGTCATGACTCATTTTAAACTATGGTATGTATGGTTTAAATATTATTTTGGGAGCTCCTAATATAAACTATTTTATTTAAATTTTAGTTGATTTATTTTAGCATGAGTGGTTACAAATTGTTATTTAAAAAAAAGGAAAAATTTAAAAGAAATTTTTTATTAGTCAATCCGATGGTTTCGTGTGGCATTTTGATCGATTGACTGTGTGTCGTACTGGTTTATGGTGTTACAGGAATTGAGCACTTTTTGTGTCCAAATAACTCTATTGATCCTACTTGAAAAAAGTGGCACGCTTATAGGTTTATTTCTTATGCATATGACCAATAAGCAAATTGAAGTAGGTAATTCTGTTCGATTGACTGTGTGTCGTACTGATTTATGGTGTTACAGGAATTGAGCACTTTGTGTGTCCAAATAACTCTATTGATGCTACTTGAAAAAAGTGGCACGCTTATAGGTTTATTTCTTATGCATATGAGCAAGAAGTAAATTGAAGTAGGTAACAAACTTTATGAAATTTATAGCCAACTAAGCATGTAAGTTTTCATTGCCCGAAAGAATTATGTCTCTTGTAGTAATTTTGGTCTTCCTCGATAAAAAGATATAGTTTGTTAATTTGTTTTGTGTATAATAAAGAATCATGCGATTTTGTTGAAATCGAGAGTATAAAATCTTACTTTGAGTGTTATATAGTTGATCATCGAATAATTGGAGTGTTGTTGAATCATTGTTCATGCATTTTAGCAATCCAAAATATGAAATATATTTGTAACTAATCAATGAATTTACTTGTAGTTAATTCTATAGCTTGTATAATTATGTGACACTCTTTGGTCATCTATGTGAATAACTTATTCAATTAGTTTTAATTTTGATTACAATTTTCTCATCAAAATATTTCT